TCTGCAAATGTAAAAGCCTCGGATTTATCCACGACATGGGAGCAAGATAAGTTTAGCAGTGTATACGCCTGCACCTTCTTCGATATGTCTGATTGACCAGCATTTTAATATTTGCGCCATTCTTGTTTGAATTTTCTCCAGTTGTCAGCTGAATGCTTGTCAAACACAAAAGCCAGATTTAAAGGGAAGTAGGTATAATTAATTATAACAGGTTAATGAAGTTTTCTTCTCTCAGGTACACACCTCTCAGAATTCATAGGAAACATAACATGATTAAGAGAACAACCACTGAAAAACTGGCGAGATATGACCAAAAAGAACAGAAAATAGCGGCTAGTTAACCACAACCGACTGAGAACATCAGAGAATCAAAAACAAAACCTAGAGATGCATCTAAATACCTTTACTTTGCATTATGGAGCACAGAGGTTCTTGATGAGTTCGTTTAGGAGTCAGCTGGGAGCTTCCGTCGAGTGCTTCCGGAGATTGGCTGGACCACAGGGAATTGATCAAGTTAGCTGAAGGTAAACTTCCTGAAGGTCAGACTTCAAGAGATGAGTCTCGGTCTCAAAGGATGAGCACTTAAGAGTTATTAAATATAGCTACAGCTCCTTAAGGGCTTTATGTAATATGTCATAAGGGGGATGAGTGGGATATAAACACAGAAATGTATGGAGCTGTGGAGCAAAGAAAATAAGACATATTTTCTGTTGATAACTTGGTACAGCACAGATCATTTCTTGAAACAATCTAAATGGTGTCAGAAGTGGTTAAAGCTAAGTTGCTACATAGCTCTATATTTTCCAACAAAACTTACCAATTTGCAAAACTAAAGTAATGCATCAATGATAGTAAAAACTGGATTAGTAACTTCCACTTGCAACATTCAGAAAAAAATAGAGGTTTTAATTATTGAACCCGAAGAGCCTGGGTGGGCCTTTTGATGTCATTTTAAAGCAGGGGTTCTTAACCTTTTTGATGTCGGGGCCCAAATTTTACAGGCCAAAGTGGCCCAGGGCCCATTTAAATATTAGCACTGTATTGGTTTATTGATTTCACCCTTGGTTTGATTTGTATTCAATAACTAAATGAAATCCACTTGCAGTTTAACAGTTTATTCATCTGCATGTCAATTTGCACATACAACAGCAAATCAATCAGCCCCAATCACAAATTTAAAAGCTTAAGGCAGGCATATTAACACAAATCAGATTTGACAAATTTTAATTACAAAAAATAGAAAATGTATTTAAATAAAAATAAACAACAAAAACAATAAAATATGTTGCTAAAATAAACAATTTAAGCAAATAAGTTGATGTAAATGAAAGTTGTTGAAAATGAGTTGTAAATAAAAATTGAAATAAAGTGCAAATGAAAAAATATCGCTTTATAAACTCACGTTCTACAAAAATCTACATGTTTGTATGGCAGAACCTGAAAGGTTGCTCTGAACAAATGAACAATAACAGTCACAAGAAACAGTCCAATCTGAACAAGCTACAACTTGCTTATTTCCTTTTTATGTTCCCCTCTTAATGGGGCACTTGGCCCTGCTTCACAGACATTATCAGATCCAGCCTGGGTGGAATGGGGGAAAGGCTCACTCTTAGAGCAGCCTGCAGTGTTGCTTTGAGTCTGTTTCGGGCCTCGGTCTTAGTTGTGGCCACAATGGAGAATCCTGATTCACACAGGTATGTAGTTGTGAATGCGAGGAGTAGTTTCACAGCCCTCAGTGCTAGACATGGGTACTCTTTTGAGACAGCAATCCAGAAGGAGTCCAGATCCAGTTTGCCCCACTGCAGCTTAAAAATACTGTCAGTGGCTACTTCCAGAAGCTGGGATTCCAGATGCGAGGGCAAAGCAACATCATTTTTAATGGGATCCACAGAAAATGGGTCCATAATCCACATGTGTCCCTCTCTGGGATCCTCAGGAAAGTAGTCATCAAATTTCACTGCCAGTTGTGAGAGGTGCTGTGAGAGCACTAATCTTCACCTGGGGGGAGTTTTCCAAAATGTCAGACAAAAGGGGATCCTTTCTTCCTCAGCCCTCTTAAACCACAAAGCAAGTTTCCAAAGCTTGAACTTTATCTGCAACAAAAAAAATATGTTGCTATTTCTCCCTTGAAGTGAGATATTGAGCAAGTTTAGCTGTGAACTGTTCATTGGCATAATAATGTGCAAAAGGAGAATTTCTCTCAGTAAGAAAAGATAGGACTTCATTCCTCAGTTTAAACACTTGAGGACCAGTCCTCTTGAGAGCCATCTCACCTCACTGTGATAGAGGAGCTGGACATGATCTGCTTCCAAGCCTTCACAAAGTTTGGCAAAACATCTGGAGTTCACAGCATTATTTTCAATGATGTAAGGATTTTGGCCAGGCGAATTTCTGAAACACACACACGCACACACAAACCTTTCACTTCCCCCACACATCGGAATGTGTGGAATATTTTTGAACAAAGAGAAGGACTTTTGGTGTTTAAAAACATTCAACAAAATGTTTTCAATGGTTTTTATGTATATGTGTCTTCCCCATGTCACAGTGAAATAACTTTGTTTGGTCACAGTTTAAATAGGAATTAAAAATACCTTCGTCATGCATTTGAAACATAAGTGTATATTCCTTTGATATAACATAATGTTCCTTGATATCTCTAGAATGCTTATTGAATGAAACACTCGAATATGCATAGAGATGTAAAGTAAAGTGTATTTTAAATTCATTTTACTGCCAATGATGATCAAATTGTTATTATAGAACCCTCATCGAACACACCCCCTTCCACGAGAAGCGCGCGCTGAGGAACAAAGGACCATAAAAGAAGGCTTCCCGCGTGCAACATCCACTCTCCGATTGGCTCCAGCCAACAGGAAGGGGATGGATTTCTCCAAGGTGATAAATGTGAGAACGCAGGTCCGCCCTCGCTCTCTTCTGAACTTTCCAGCGCTCCTTCAACATGTAAACCTCACGGGACTCTGATCCAACCATGGATCATTTCCTTTGTTCGTCTAAAAGTTTCGTCTTTTCCTCAAATGGACTACAAAGTTCGTCTCACAGGAAAGGAAGTGGACTTTGCCGAACTATTTCCTCGGGTAACGTCACCTCAAAGACTTTCAGCCTTTCAAACACTGGCGCTATATGCCGACGAACGCCACGTGACTCCCCACGGAACAAAGCAGCCATGAACGAGCCGGGACGGGCCGCGCAAACACGCCGCGGCCGCGCTTCACGTGACGCACGCGCGCAGGACAGGCGCAACTCCAGCCGACACGTGGCCCGAACGGGCCGAGCAACGAGACCGCGACTCACACAGACCGAATGTGCCCTGCAAGTATACCTTCTTTTAGAGCTTCTAAGAAGCATTGTGTTTTCGTGGTGTTCAGAAAGGTTAACTGACTGTTGTGGCAAACGTAACCCACTCTCTCTCACTTGCTCTACAACTCACTCTATCTCACTCTCTCTCTCTCCAACTCACTCAACTTACGCGTATCCATTGTCTAAACGCTCTGCGTCGTCTTAGTTTGTGTTTAATGTTTGTAAATACCTGTATCATTGTAACGTAGTGAATGCTTAAGTAGTAACTTTATTAAATACAAAATATGCTTACCTTGACTGATTGTCTTGCTCATAATACGGGTCAATGAAATGTCAATTTAAAGCTACACGCTTTACAGAACTATAAATATCTAAGAGGGTATTTGGTTATAGAGCAGGGAAGGCAGATTCTAGTGGCCACAGAATTTGTTTTCACAAGCTATATAACTTAATTGAGCTAATTGATTTTGCCTGTCTTGTAAAACGTGGTCCTTGCAATCAATAACAATTAATTTGCGGTTGATTGCGGGGATGCACATGTATGCATATGGGTAAAATTAATAAATTAATATGTAAGACCGGTCTGATCCAAATCTGTATGAATAATTATTAATTATCAATTATTAATTATGACATGCAAATTCCCCCCCCCCGATCAGAACCGACCCAGAGTCTTTACAATGAATTTTATGGTTTTCACACTGACATCCATCACCTCATGTAACTCTGGTGAAATTTTCTTTTGCTGCTAGGCTTTCACGGTGAAGAAAACAGTGGGTCGATTTAGCTTCTGGGGCGCGATCAAGTATCTGCCTGATGACACCGTGATGCCTGCCTGTCATTGACGCAGCACCATCGCTGCACACCCCAACACAGTTCTGCCAGTCTGGGCCGTTCTCTTTGAAGTAGTCATCCATGCACCGGAAACATTCCTGAGCCGTAGTCCGTGTGGGTAGCTCTCCGCAAAACAGTATATCTTCGTGCAAACTACTGTTCCAGCGATAACGAACAAAAACCAGTAGCAGTGTAGCATTTGTGACATCAGTAGATTTGTCTAGTTGCAAAGAGAAAAATGGGCTGCTTTTTATTCTTTCTAGCAACTGATTGTGTATGTCTGTGGCCATGTCCGCGATACAGTTGTCACGGAACGGATGGATTAAGGTGCGAGGACTCAAGTGCAAAACAATGGGTATATTTATTAAGTAAATAACACAAAATAAAACTACAACAAAAACTCCCTCGTGGGGGAAAACTAGACAGAATCAGGCAGGATACAGGAAACACTAGGAACATGGACAACGAACCAGCACAGGACTGCAAACACAGGGAGATTAAATAGGGGAACAAACATAAAAGGGTAACGAGGCAGGCAGGTGGGGGAAATAAAACAATAACGAGATAACAAGATGGGCGGGGTTAGACAATAGACAGGAGAGTACATGGCACAAGGAAATAACATGACAGCCATGTGCTCACAACCGACCAGACTAAACAAACACATGACAAACCAGGAGTGGCACAGCTCTGTCACTAAATCAAGAGAAACCCAGACAAGGGTGACAGAACTGTGACACTACCCCCCCTCAAAGGGACGCCACCTGGCGTTCCCAAGGAGGGACACCAAAAACAAGACAGGAACATCCAACGTGTTAGACCAAACAGCAGACAAGACAAGCAGATCAGAACACATACACAGAGAGGGGAGGGACGGGAGGGTTGAGCCAGGGAGGGACGGGTGGGTCTGCATTCCTGGCTGAGGACCAGGGTGGTGCCGGCGGGACGGACCAGGGAGACTCAGGCGGGTCTGGATTCCTCACTGAGAACCAGGGCGGAGCAGGCAGTTCAGGCGGCCATGGCGGAGCAGGCAGTTCAGGCAGCCAGGGTGAACCAGGCAGTTCAGGTGGCCAAGGCGGACCAGGCAGTTCAGGTGGCCAGGACGGATCAGGCAGTTCAGGTGGCCAGGACGGATCAGGCAATTCTGGTGGCCAGGACGGACAAGGCAGTTCAGGTGGCCAGGGTGGACCAGGCTGTTCAGGTGACCAGTGCTGAGCAGGCAGTTCAGGTGGCCTGGGTGGACCAGGCAGTTCAGGCGCAGACACCAGTTCAGGTACAGAACCCGGATCAGGAAAAGACACCGGCTCAGAAACAGACGTGGCCATATCGTCTGGAGACGTTGGTTCGGTAGCGACCATACTGTCCAAAGACCCCGGCTTGGCAGCGGCTACCTTGTTAGGAAACACTGGCATGGCTGACCTGGTGGGAGCGGTCTCTGGCTCGGCAGAACTGACGTGAACAGTCTCTTGTATGGCAGGAACAACGTGAACAGATTCGGGCTTGAATTGTAACATGACCGGTGCCGGCAGGGCCAGGAGCTTGGGCGGCGCCAGCAGGGAGAAGCGCTTGGGTGGCGCCGGCAGGGCGAGGCGCTTGGGCGGCGCCGGCAGGGCGAGGCGCTTGGGCGGCGCCGGCAGGGCGAGGCGCTTGGGCGCGGCTGCAGGCCTCCCTGGAGGCTTCGAGGGTTCAGCTGCAGGTTTCACTGGAAGCATCGGTGGTTCGACTGCAGACTTCACTGGAGGCTTCAGAGGTTCAACTGCAGGCTTTACTAGGGGCTTCGGGGAGTCGGCTGCAGGCTTCGGAAACATCTCCGGACCCTGTAGTTGGCCGGAAGCTTTCCTCCCCCGTCTACGTGAGCGTGTTGGTGCTACGAGCTTCTTGGCCACCTCTGAGAGCACTGCAGGGAGAGAGGACAGCTCTGGGACCACTGCAGTCGGATCCTTCTGGACCACCAGGCTTGGGACCACTGAAGTCGGGTCCTCCTGGATCACCGGACTTGGGACCATCGAAGTCGGGTCCTCCTGGACCACCGGGCTTGGGAGCGCCAAAGTCGGGTCCTTCTGGACTACTGGCCTTGAGACCGTCGAAGTTGGGTCCTCCTGGACCACCGGCCGAAGGGAAGCATCAGGAGCCCTCCTCCTCCTGCGCTGGCGAGGCGATGAGAAAGTAACTGCCTCTGGGGGTGCTGCAGCTCCTTCAGCCTCCACTAGATAGGAGGCTGATGGGTCACACCCTTTCTTCCTCCTCCCTCTCCCCAAAGGGGTCATCGGAGGACCAGGGACATAGCAGTTTGTGAGGTCAGTGGGAGGTGGCCCAAGTGGCGGAAGACCACCCCTCCCAGTCTGCACTGGATCCGCGATGGTAAACGTACCCCACAAACTGCCAGAATGATAGTGTCCCCAGCATTCCCATCTCCCAGGCAGGAACAGGCTCCTTAAGGCTGGTGTTGAATCTATCCTTAAGCACTGTGTCACCAATGTTGAGCCCCTCCGCAAAATACAGGAACTTGAAGGCAAGCTCCTTCACACTGCTTTCCCCTTGCCGCAGTGAAAGGAGCTTGTCGAGTCTCTCCACCATCGGAAAAGCGGAGGGGCAGGGAGATGGGAAAAGGAAAATACCCATGCTTGCTGAGTCCTCAGTTTGGCTGGTTCGTTCTGTCACGGAACGGATGGATTAAGGTGCGAGGACTCAAGTGCAAAACAATGGGTATATTTATTAAGTAAATAACACAAAATAAAACTACAACAAAAACTCCCTCGTGGGGGAAAACTAGACAGAATCAGGCAGGATACAGGAAACACTAGGAACATGGACAACGAACCAGCACAGGACTGCAAACACAGGGAGATTAAATAGGGGAACAAACATAAAAGGGTAACGAGGCAGGCAGGTGGGGGAAATAAAACAATAACGAGATAACAAGATGGGCGGGGTTAGACAATAGACAGGAGAGTACATGGCACAAGGAAATAACATGACAGCCATGTGCTCACAACCGACCAGACTAAACAAACACATGACAAACCAGGAGTGGCACAGCTCTGTCACTAAATCAAGAGAAACCCAGACAAGGGTGACAGAACTGTGACAACAGTGACTAACAGTGTTGTTTGAGAGTGGGATGGTTAGCAGCTTTTTTGCAGCAGCCTCTCCGAGCATTTCACAGCACATATCAACAGCGGCGGGTAAAACCAACTCCTCCGCAATCGTGAATGCTTTCTTAGTCTGCGCCACTCGTCTGGCTACGAGGTAGCTGGCTTTCAAAGCACATTTAGAATTTCCTGTAAATGACACAACAGACCTTTTCTGCAGCTGAAGCCCACTTTCCTTTCTCTTGAAAAATTCCACCGACTTTCCCACAAGCGATGATGGATGTTTCGTTTCTAGATGCCGCTTTAGTTTCGAAGGCTTCAGTGCTTCATTGGATAGCATAAGTCCACACTCCACACGCTGGGCTCTCGGCTCTGTCTCATCACCTCCATTCACAAATCCGTACTTAATGAAGTCAGGATTGTATTTGCTGCAAAATCTTTACTTTTGGGTCGGGTTGGCGCGACTTTGGCCTCCCATTTTCCGCTTTAAAAATTTTACCATAATTTTAATCATAGCTTTTGCTACACTCTACGCTTGACTTGAGTGTCTTCTTCTGCTTGTTTTTGGCACTTGGTAAACAACTAACTGAGGCATTACTGCCACTAGTGGTGGGATGGTGTATTGTAACTGTCTTATGGATAACACTGGTTATTCTGGATAACATGTTTGGTTCCGCGGCCCTTGCGGCCCACAGGTGTAAAACGTTAACTTTTTGACGGCCTGCGGCCCAATGGTTAAGAATAGGTGTTTTAAAGCCACATTTTCTAATATTAGTACAACCATGCTTTTTCATCTTAAAAATATCTCTACATTAGGACATATGCTCTCAGATGTCAAATGAAGAAACATTATTTCATGCGTTCATGACCTCAAGGCTAGATTATTGTAAAATACAGCAGTTAGAGTTTGCTCAGTTAGATATTGGCTGCTTCTTAAGCATCAAATTCATTTTAAAATCTTAGTGATCACTTGTAAGACCCTGAATGGTTTAGCTCCTCAATACTTAGAAGAGAAACTATTGGATTACAGACATTCATTGTGGTCTCAAAATTCTGCCCAGTTGATACCTAGAATATAAAAATCGACCGCAGGCAGTAGATTGTTTTCTTAAACTCTGGTCTTCCTAGTAATTGTTTGGGAAGCAGACACACTCTGATAGTAATCTAGATTAAAGACCCATCTCTTTAACCTGACATACACATACGTACTGTAACACACTATCACATTTCTATGATTAAATTTACCTTAGGGGATTGTTAAGGCTGGTTCACACAGAACAGCAGAAACATGAGACTCTGCTCAGTGGAACAAAGACAAGCGCAAGGTGTAGAGATTTCTTAAAAGTTAGACTTCTTGAAAATTAGTGCCACGTTTTTATTAAAGCCATATCATGCGCTAAATACGTGATGTGGTAGTTATGGTTAAAGACATCTGTAGCACGTTTACATTGAAAAACAATAGAATAGTAGTGCAGTGGAATGGAACAAGGTGTGAAAGGGGTTGTGATACTAAGGGCCAGATTTACTAAACAGGGCAAATTAGTGCGAGAATATTACTCAATATTACTCAAATCTGAAATTTAAGAAAACTATTGATTATAAAGAAAATGTTTGAGCTAGTTTATTTTTTTAGGAGTATGACATCGATAATTAACATATGAATCTCATCAATGGTGACAATCAACAAAGCCTTTATGTGACTTTATAGTAGTTCAGAGTTTATCACCATTGTAGTGATTCATACGCTGATTCTTGATGTCTGTATGAGTCTGTATGATCCTGTCAATACATTTTCTGTATTATGACTTGATAAAATCTTAGTATCTCGAAATAAATCACCTCAGAAGGTTCACCTTAAAAGCTGGGCTTTTGTTTAAAACAATGGCCGTATGACAGTGGCCGTATGTCAGTGAGTTCATAGTGTACTGTTAAGTGCTGTTTTCCCTCTATAGCATAAAACAAAGGCTAGACAGTAGACTTTAGACAGTAGCAGTTAAAAGCTTTATGGCCTGATTGCTGGCAATTAAAACACATACAGTACAGATACAGTAATAGTAAACACTACTTCAATCAGAACAGTTCATCTCTCAGGGCTCCAGACTAATTTTTTGCCTTGGTTGCACTGGTGCGCTTATTTAGGTGCACCAGCACAAAATTTAGTTGCACTGAAATTTTTTCTCGTCTTGTGTCACTTTTAACGTCACAATTTGAAGGTCACCTTTTTATCACGCTCCATATATTCATATATATATTATGTAAATGCTTTTAAAAAAGAATAAGAACACAATTACACTGTATATAAAAATATAAATCTTTAAAAAAAATTAAAGGGCTGTTTTTACATTGTTCAAGTAAATTACAGTTTTATTTATTTTTATAATAATAATGTTATATGAAATATATACATTTAAATGGTGGCTGTATAAAAACTTGCCAGATTTTTTCAAATAACATGCATTAAATATTGAAGAACATTAAAAATTATAATGAATATTATAGAGTTATAGAGTAATATCTAGAGTTAATTTTTCTAGCTGGCTAACGAGTTTATGGTCACTGGATTTTTTTTTTCTGAGGTAAATGTGATGCTACATTACATTGTTTACGAGCGTTTTACTGACGTCTTTCCACGGTTGAATCACTGATTGAGTGATTATATGTGAAAGATACGGATTTCGATAAGTTGTACTCTATCTTTAACACACTTTCAGATGCTCGTTCATGTTTATTTCGCGCTGTAACTGGTATTATTAAGGCAGAAGAGAAGCTCATGTGCGCTCTGCGCTGCTGATTCTCTTGAGCTGAACCAGAGCGATCTCACGCTACAGCGTCAATACACTATTTATGTTTTTGAATTTCGTAAGAAAATTGACCTAATTTGAAATCTGAGACTTTGTTTCATATCAATAGTAACAAAGCACAAAGATTATTGCGATTTATTGGACGAGATGCGCACTACAATCTACCATTCACCCATCAACTGAAAACAGCATAGCCCAACGGGTTCTTAAAATGAGAATTAGTTTTTGAATATGAGAGTATATTTTACCTAGCCCTAAAAAGTATCCAACATTTTTAAAAGTTTCTTCGTTGTCTGTTTCTTCTGTTACTGATTCTCTGGTGTTCAGGTCGCAATTTATTTCGTTTCACACAGCACGGGGCATTTTACCATACGTGCAAGGAGAACAAAAGACACGTTTGGGGAGAGTCAGTGGATGCGATCATGCAAGAACGTTAGGTGCACTGGTGCGACCTAGGAAAAATTTTGGTCGCACCCTTACAAATTTTGGTCGCACTCTAGAGCCCTGTCTCTACTGGAAACCCTAAAACCGGAGCTCTAAAAAGGAGAACATGTGTGAGGGTAAGAGAGATGAAGAAGAGCAGCACATGTATGCAGATGTACAGCAGCTACAGTTAATGGTGATTAAAAATTGTACAGACCTTTTCAACACGTTATTATTGTACTCTAGCCTGGTGGAGACGGAGATGCTGCTGCCACTGATCTTTTCATTTTTGCCACACCTGTCACGACCGATATTACTATCATGTATTAGTCAGATATATTGGCTGAATTCGTAACTGCATACTAAGCATACTGCTCTTGCCTCTTACTATTTTTAGCATATCTTTCTATTGCAGAAATCATAAGTGTAGTATGTGATTTTGAATTCAGCCATTGACCGTCATCCATGTTAAGATTGCATGGATTTCATGGATTGTTGTTTTTGTGTGGTGCAAAATATCATTACTTTTCATTGGTTGGGATGGTCGATGTTCATGTGAACTATATTAAACTTACATGTGGAGATAGACATGTTATGTACGAGACACAACTGGACATATAAAAGGTCAGTTATGGGAGGGACAAGCCAGAATGCTGCTGTGTGGCCACTCATATCAAATGCAAAATTTGAGCACACATGAGTATTAGAGATCCCTCTTTCTATCAACAACAAGAAGCACTAAAATTCAGGAAGAGGAAGATGTGGGTGTAGTTTAAAATTGATCAGGAGGAGGTAACCACTTTGACATAGCAGTTAAAAGAAGATGCGCAAATTGCCAGGCTTGGCGACATGATTTTAACTCGGCAAGAAAGTTTCATCATTGCCAATAATTCCTTCAAGGCTTCCTACAAAAAATGGACAACTGCCAGCATACAGCAAGTGAAAGAGTGG